GTGGTCGGCTGTCTTCAATTGAGACTAATCGCGGCAAATCTAGGGAGTGCGCCGGAGGTGACGGCAGTTCCCTGGTTGCGCTTGAGACGGGGAGAGGTAGTTGGGTAGAACGCGATAAGTGTGAACAAACGCAGAATATGACAGAGAGAAAGTGACAATGGGGCTTTTCTAAATGAGGGAGCTCAATCCCGCAAGACGATGATCCCCCGATTGACCGCCCACACCGCACAGGCCGATCGGCCAAAGAACATCCAAAGTGGTTGCCACCAAGTACCTTCTTCTCTTTCACCTCTATCTCATCTACTTATGCCATAACCCCCCAAATAGCAAGTTTGTCTTGTTTCCCTCAATCCATACGACCTACGCGCCCCTCAACCTATCATCCTCGGCTCCATACTTGCCCGGACAACCTGTGAACCGCACACTGGACAACGCGCCCACTAGTTAATCATACACACGATGGGAGGTTCACTTTCGCGTATTTGGTCCCTACTCTGGTCCAAGAAGGAGATCCGCATCCTGATTCTAGGACTTGTACGTTGTGCCTAACTGCGTCCCACGTGGGGAAAGCAGGTTCTCATTAGTGTGACCAGGACTGAAGCTAATTAACATTCTTTTGGGGATTTAGGATAACGCTGGAAAGACCACATTGCTGTACAGGCTCAAGGTAAGATATTATAGCTTTGAAACTGGTGTTTTCTCGTGCATTTGAATGAGATACGTGGGGCTGACACCGCGCGCCCACAGATTGGTGAGGTCGTCACCACGATACCTACAATCGGTTTCAACGTCGAATCGGTCACATATAAGAACCTCAATCTTAATGTCTGGGTATGTTTTCCTCGTTTCTAAATTCAATCGGATTGTGACTAACATCCCTGGATTGTAGGATCTCGGTGGCCAAACTTCTATTCGCCCATACTGGCGATGCTACTACGCCAACACCGCCGCAGTGGTCTTTGTCATCGACTCCACAGATATTGAACGATTAGGGACTGCGGCAGATGAATTAGCAGCCATGTTGAACGAGGAGGAACTTCACGATGCGGCATTGCTGGTGTTCGCCAACAAACAAGATCAACCCGGTGCCAAGGGTGCAGGCGAGATCTCAGAGGCTTTGAAGCTGGGAGAGCTGCGGGACCGAAACTGGAGTATTGTTGCTTGCTCTGCCATTGATGGCAAGGGTATTAATGAAGGAATGGATTGGCTGGTGGTTCGTGTCTTTCCTCAATCCAACCTACTGATTTCTCAAACTAACTATGCCCCTACTTGCAGCAAACAATCCAGTCCGAGAATGCATGATTTTCTGGCGTTCTATGGGTTTAGAATTTCATCTTTGATACCTTGGTTTTCGAGTTCTCACGCGACTTGGGGACCTTCTGCTGCATTCGGAGTGCTGTACCACTTCTTCCTTTCGGCTCTGCATAACAGAGTCCTTGTCTTATATTCCTTCATGATTGTTCCGATGTCAGACCTGCGGCTTACACATAATTGTTTAATTGAGTTATTGACACTAAACTCTGTAAAAGAGAAGTGTCAGATTGATTCTATCTTCGTAATCAATTATTATTGACATCTTCTCCATCTTCGTCCCCGGTTTAACCTGCATAATCTGCCCAAATTCGAGATCCTTCCCAGTACACATGTATCTTGGCATCTGTTTGTAACTGTTTCTGCTTATCTTTCCATCCCTCCCTACCCCCGCATCTGCGATACGACTAATGCCGCCTATCGGGTCAGGTATGAACTACCGAACTATTTAAGCCAAGTGTCCTCATAAAGGTTCACAGACTATCTAACTATCTGAAAGACGTGATCTCTCATAGAACCAACAATATGTCGGTCCCTCCAATCCCCCGGATTCAAATCGCTGCTGTTATCGCCTCCACAAATGTTCCTGACTCCGCAAAGGTGGGGATCAAGAGCAATCGCCCTGTTCCAACTCCAGGAAAAGGCGAAATCCTCGTCAAGCTCGAGTTTTCTGGGGTATGTCACTCGGATCTTCACAGCATCCGTGGCGACACGCCTATGTTGACTGATGTTGCGGGGCATGAAGGTGTTGGTAAAGTAGTCAAAGGTAAAAACTATCGCCGTATCAGGTTAAACGCAGTCCAGGTCGTATACTAATATTCCTCGTCACTCTTAGTCGGACCGGAAGTTGACGAGAAGCAATGGATTGGAACGCGGGTTGGTATCAGGTCTGTCTCCTTCATCGCATATTGGTCGTCCGGTTGAAGCTATATTGACGCTGATGGCATTTCCACCGGTAGATGGCTCTACAGCTCTTGTCGCCAGTGCGAAATTTGTGAAATCAACCATACCGTATGCCCATATCAGAAGAATGCTGGTGCAGTAAGTTTTTCACCATCGCAAATCATGTGTCTCTATCGTTTCCCTTACTAATTGCATCGATGGCTTACAGAATGTGCCTGGAACGTTCCAGCGTAAGTATATTATCTATCCATGTGGTTATCCAGTCCATTAGAACACTTCTAATATCATGTCTCAGAGTATATTGTCAGTCCAGCACTCCATGTGACAAAGATTCCGGAGGAGCTTTCACCAGATAGTGCTGCGCCTCTTCTGTGTGGTATGTTTTATCCCATTGGTATTTCGCCGGCCAAAAGCTAATCATTATTTACAGCTGGAATTGCGATGTACTCGTCCATCATGAAAACCAAAACTCGCCCGGGAGACTACCTTGCCATCATTGGTGCTGGAGGTGGCCTTGGTCATATGTACATTCCCAACCCAGCTTTTGATGACTAGAAACTTGGTTTTCTGACAAATATATTTATTACAGGGGAATTCAAATTGCCGCTAAAAAGGGCCTTAAGGTCATTGCGATTGACAGGTATGTGATATCTCAGACTGAACATTTTCTGTCACCTTTATAGCAAACTAACTCGGTGAATCTCGCAAAGCGGAGATAAGAAAAAGCAACTATGCCTTTCGCTTGGGGCCACGGAATTTCTGGACTACCGCGAAGTTGACATTGTCCAGGCAGTGAAATCCAAGACAACCTTCGGTGTACATGCTGTGATCTGCACTGCCAACGGTGAGCGAGCGTACGAACAAAGTATGCAGATGTTGCGTCCTTTTGGCACGCTGGTCTGTGTCGGTATTCCCAACAAGCCATTCAAGCTACCAGCTACGCCATTTGATATGATTGTCAAGGGTTAGTTCTCTGATACCTATGCAATTCAGAACATGAGCCGATCTAACCAACCAATACAGGTCTCACTATTGTCGGAAACTCCGCGGGAACAGCAGATGAGATGGATGAAATGCTGGCTATGGCCGTGGCTGGTGATGTGAAGGCGCATATTGAGGTCTTTGAGTTGGACGATATCAATGATGTATTGGACCGCCTGGAGCGCTCGGAGATTGATGGCAGAGTGGTCTTGAAAATCCCCCAATAGGTGCCATAGCTGGCATACTTCGGAGCTGGCATACCTGTTTGCCTTAGCAGTGGAGAAAATGTTACTATTTCCATGCTCAGCATGCTACATGTTTGTTGTAGTATTAGAATGGCTTTTCAACTATAAAAACAAAAGGTGAAAAGTGAATAATCCAATTCAAGGTGAATAAGGAGCAAAACGTTGGTTCCAGACGGACCCTCAACTTTAGCGTCATTAACACCACATTCTAAACAACTAAGTTATGGGGCCGTTGATGTATGATGCTTGGATTTTGGCTATTTGAGCAAGAAGCAAGAATCACTCCACCCCGCAGTCATAGTCTAACATGATGCTACGTTGAAGGATGTAATTTGCGACCAAAATGATATTTATATATAACAGACCAAAAGTGATACACATCATGTTATTTGATGACCATGATCGATGTAGGGGACTAACAATCCTTCTCTAAACCGCCAAATGATTGGCCCGAAGTTTCGATCACCTTGCTTTATGGGCTGAATGTACTAATGCGCGTCAATGGCTTTTCCTGGGGTTGAAAATAGGGCTAGGTCAAAATCATTGTCGACCCAGATGAGTAGGCACCTTTTCCCTTGATCGCCCTGCTTTGATATTACCATTTGGGTTAATTTACGATTTCTGCCAGTGATGTATGGTTGCTTCTTTGTTATATGGTTGGATAATGTTCTCAATCTATTTCTGGACTCTTACTATTGCTGCTGCACTCCACTACCCCCAATAACTCTGATTGTCCTTTCTATTATTTCCGTCACGCTCTGACAATGAATTACCCCCCAAACTGATAGAGGACTAGGCTGAATATAGACTCTTTCGAGGGATATGTTAATGTTATCAATTTCAGTCCTATGCATGTAGACAATAATGATGCTGGTTCCTTTCAGAGTCTCGGGGCTCACCTCTTTCCTATCACTTTACGTTGATGTATTTAAAACGACTAATATCAAAAGGTTCTACATAAAATCTTTGTATTTTTACAAATTAGGCTGTTCCGGAATAAAAATGAATTGTTCTTCTTGCCGTTATGCTGTGTGGCTCCTCCTTAAGCCTCATCTAGCCATCCCATATTGAAAATGATCGTATTCGGACAGCAATGAACGCCTCGAATCAATTATATTATGTAGGATACGGAGATTATGAACAGCTTCTATAACATGCAGAGCTCCAGGACCCAGGGCTAATCCATATTGAAACTAGTGTGATACTTGGCGTTCAGGGTCCAATTTTATAACCGCAACTAACTTGACTATTCCGTAGGTTTTAAAGGTTATAGCTAAACGGCCATAGGTATATATTCAGGAAATTTCTGATACGTGCCTCATGCTTCACAGTTTCTTTCCTTCTTTTCCGTACTTTTGTAGTATGTGAGCCGTTCCGAAGGTAGTGTGACCCACCGGGGGCCAGAGTGTAAATTTGATGTACATTAATCCTTCCAAGATAGTCATTTAGGAGGGTTTCGTTCCTCGCTGTGACCGCCCCCGATTCACTGCAGGCTTATTCCCCTATTTACCATTACGCTTTGTCGCCCAGGTCTTGCAGAATTAATATTTGGTCCTTAAAATGTCAGCAGACGAATATCTCGAGGGCTACTCTCTACGCCGAAACGGCACATGCATGGACGGCGAGCAGGATTGTGGTGGGACCTGGGGCTCATTTCGAAGATGTTGCCCGGGGAATACCAAATGCCCTGCCGAAAAAGGCGCCCCTGGGATATGCTGTCCAACTACGAAAAATTGCGAAGCCGCGTTAAATAATAAATGGCGCTGTGCAGACTCTACAGCGGATCTTTACGCTGTTCAAAAGACCGATGGTTATTTTTGCTGCACAAATGATACTCTAGGACTTTATACTGTCAGCAGAGGTTATGTGGGCTGCGCAAAAGCACAAGACATGAACGACCTTGGCGAGGAAGTGAAGACCCTGAGAGCAGCTGTTCAGTATACTCTTTCTACCTCTACAACCTCGAGTAAGCCTTGTTCCTGATGATCGTCAAATATTCATATTCAAGCACTGTGACATGGTGCATCGTTGTCTTTTCTCAATCTGACCCACCATTTCATAGATACTGCCACGGCTACAACACTCCCCTCGTCGACACTAGGGACAACCAGCGCCACTCCCACCCCCACAAACGACGCAAATACCGATACTTCTCACTCTAATACCGGGGCAATCGCGGGTGGTGTGGTTGGTGGTATAGCTGGTGTCGTCATCTTGATTGCGCTGGCCTGGTGTTTATTCCGTCGCCGAAAGAAGCACCCTCAAGATAGCCAATACATCCAACCTCCCCCAGGCCCTGTATCGGAGTTGAGTGATAGTAATCAGATCACAGAACTGAGCGGTCAAAGCATTGCAGAGCTACCAGGACCAGAGCACCGCAAGGTTCAACCTGCTGAATTGGCGACATGAAGGCTCCGGCATGAGCAGTTCGGTAAGGCTTTCCTAACCCCCTATAAACAAAGCCTGTTCCCACGGGATGGAGCCCGATGAGACTTTATCATAATGTGGAATGTCGATCTTTCACATATAATAATTCGGCTAAGAATTTTGGATAGGGAATTGCGTCGGTGACAGCGGAAGTACCGAATTTGTGTTAATAGGCAAGGAAAGTGTCTTCGGGTGGTCATTCCACTGTGAGCCCTCACCAGTACGCCATATATTGCCAGAGTATGCTTATCACCAATCCTAGCCTTTTTCCCTGTCTGATTAAGGTTATGGCCGCATTGCCTGGTACATATGTATTTTTTATCATCTATTGCATTTCATCTGTTTTCCCTCCTTGAGGATTATTTAGTCTTAGCTTCTTTTCTATGGTTGCTAGATGGGCATACATCATCACATTCCCTCCCCGACTCATCACAAATAAACTGTCATATACTGACTGCAGGTTGGCTGCTGTCAACGGAGGTAAATACTGTCCTCCGAGGGAAAATACCATCATAGGTCTTTCACTACATGGAGATACGGTCAATTCAATACATAGCAGGTAGTAGCTCATTGTATATACTGGCCCTTATGGCTCTCCCGTGTGATCGCATTCCACTTCATCCTCAAGAGTTCCTTGACTTCCCCAGCCCACCTATCCACCCTCGCCCGGAAACTCTTTCTGCAACAACCACTGCCAGGCAACTCACCATCAACGCTTCAAGGATTCCATCCGAATCAGCATCAAGCTCAGCGATAACATTCAAAGAACCCAGAATTTGTCGATCAGTTCTATTCTGCCACACAGCAAGAATATCATCTGGTTTATCCGCAGAAAAGAACTTTAGGTTGCCGTTCCCATCACTAGAACCAGCGCTCTTCCCTTCAGTTCCAAGGAGAGACAATGCAGCTTTGGACCCTTTCCAGTAGAATGTTTTGACAGCCTCGCCACCAGTAATCCCAACACGGTAAGTCCTGCCAATTCCTTTCCGAACAATGTCCACCGAGCAAGACTTGGAAAGCTCCGGGGAACTTCCCCCAGAGCCTGCAAGGTTATTTTGAAGGGTACTAGAACCTAGCTGGTGGAAGATGTCTACCGTCACATGGAGACTTAGCAGACCCTCAAAGCCACGGTAGTGAATGTGCGCACGGTGGTCTTGGGGCTCGGGAGATGGGTCTTTCCGGCTGCGTACGACATTTCCACCAGAGTAAAGGTCAAATGAGGCTGGTAGATAGAGACCTTGGCGGTACCAGGGGATGCGCAGGGTGTGATATACTGGGCTTGGAGATTGAGCAAGTCCCCCAGAAGGGTGAACTTGAAGGCAAAAGCTGAAGGCATTTGTACCAAGTGCTACCTGCATAAATTGGTGAGCATTAATTTCGATTTACAAGTGTTTGGAAAACATGAATGCATCTATAACCAGGCCGCTAACATACATCTTTGAAGACGTTGAATGAACGGTAAGGCTCCTTTGCACGATTTAACCGAGGCACAGCTTCTGGTATAGCATTCGTGGGATCTCGCTGTGGGGGTGTGTTTTCCTGAGCAGGGGAATCGTTCTCCTCGTTCTCGTCGAAATAGACATGGTCAAATCCCACCGCTGAAGAGTTGGTTGTTTTCCCTTGCGTCCTCATTCCGGGTAGGCGTACGACTTCGATTGTCCAGCACTGTAGATAAACAAACAGTTTCTGTGAATATATACGGGCAAGCTAAAGAGGTCGCAATATGTGGAAGGTAGAAGTCAAGTTGGTCATAGCCAAGCCTTAACAGCGTTGCCCGATACGAGCTTGTGATCATCGAAGAGAAGATCGTCGGTCAATATATTTCACTCATTCCGCACATAAAGCCGAGATATTCTTTGATATATATGGATAGAATATATTCCGAAGCAAGTTTGCAACCACTAACAAGAGCTAAAATCATAGTTGAAGGCGAAGAAGACGAAGTACATAAGTAAACATCCGGCGATGTAGCTATATAAGGCTACCGCCCTAGAGATTCTGCATGTCCTATTGACACCGCCCGGAGTGTGCAGCAAAGAACCCGAATCCGTCCTCGAGAACTGCAAGGGACGTGCGAGAACCTCGGATCGTGCTCAATTGCAATTGTAAGTGATTTATTAGGTGCATATTGATTTGTATGCATTGTTCCAATTGGTTCACCCACAATGCGAGTCGATTGGAGCCTAACTAGCTCCATGGCCCCAGTAACAATCCACTATTGATCGCAAGTACTAACCGCCGTATAGGTTTCGATCGGGCGTTGCTCCGCCGGCGAAAATAATTAGCTCCACACAATCAAAATGGCTTGTAATTCCGCAACAATGGCCTGGAGAGCCAGCGTCCGGGCTCGTGCCATTCCTACCTGCCGCTTGACCCAACGGCCGTCGGCGTTGCTACCGAAGCGGGCCCAGCGCTACCCTGGTGCTTCGCGATATGCTTCAGACTCGGCTGCATCTGCGCCTGCCGAGGCAGCTAAGGAGACAGTGAAGGAGGCTACAAAGGAGGCTACCAAGGAGATCCCCCGCAAAGCGGGCCGTGGCTCTAAGAAGGCCTTGTACGGTGCCTCGTTGGCCTTGACCCTGCTGGTGGGCTACATCTATGGAACCGATACCAGGGCCAGTATCCACAGATACGGCATTGTGCCCTTGATCCGCCTCCTGTGGCCCGATGCGGAGGATGCACACCACATCGGCGTGGAGAACCTAAAGATGCTCTATAAGTATGGACTTCACCCGCGCGAGCGTGGCGAGCCAGATCGTGATGGTGTCCTGGCAACTGAGGTAATGGCATTCCCAAATCTGCCGATAGCCAATCGCTAATGAAATTCATTGCCAGGTCTTTGGATACACTATCTCCAACCCCATCGGTATCTCCGCCGGTCTGGACAAGCACGCTGATGTCCCTGATCCGCTGTTCGACATCGGTCCCGCTATCGTGGAGGTCGGCGGCACCACCCCTCTGCCGCAGGAAGGAAACCCCAAACCTCGAGTGTTCCGACTGCCCTCTCAACACGCCATGATCAACCGCTACGGCCTCAACTCCAAGGGCGCCGACCACATGGCCAAGGTTCTGAAGCAGCGCGTAGCTGACTTCGCCTACGCCGCCGGTTTCGGCCTGCACGAACAAGCCGAGCAGCGCGTCTTGGACGGCGAAGCCAACGTCCCACCTGGAAGTCTGGTCCCAGGCAAGCTTCTCGCCGTGCAAGTTGCCAAGAACAAGCTTACCCCCGACGGAGACATCGAGGCCATCAAGCGCGACTACGTCTACTGCGTGGACCGGGTGGCACCGTACGCCGACATCCTCGTCGTGAACGTCTCCAGCCCCAACACTCCAGGTCTGCGCGACCTCCAAGCCGCCGCACCCCTCACAGCAATCCTGACTGCAGTCGTCGCCTCCGCTAAGAGCGTCGAGCGCAAGACCAAGCCCTACGTGATGGTCAAGGTCAGCCCGGATGAGGACTCCAACGAGCAGATCTCCGGTATCTGCGAGGCTGTCTGGAACTCCGGCGTCGACGGCGTCATCGTCGGTAACACCACCAACCGTCGTCCCGACCCCGTGCCCCAGGGTTTCGTCCTCCCCGCCGAGGAACAGAAGACCCTCAAGGAAACCGGCGGTTACTCCGGCCCTCAGCTGTTTGACCGCTCCGTTGCGCTCGTCGCTCGCTACCGCGCCTTGCTTGACCAGGGACCCCCGTCTGCGACCGACTCGGAGAACTCTGTTGAGAAGGTGTCCAACCTTCCCCGCAAGGTTATCTTCGCTTCCGGCGGTATCACTACCGGTAAGGAGGCGCGCGAGGCCCTCAAGGCCGGTGCCTCAGTCGCTATGATGTACACTGGTGTTGTCTACGGTGGTGTTGGCACTGTCACGCGCGTCAAGCAGGAGCTGCGTGAGGAGCTGCAGAAGAAATAAGCGGTGTGAACTAACAATTTTATTTTATTTTATTGTCATTTGGTCTTTGATAGATCCTGTAAATAACATGGATATGAACAAGAAAAGTAATATTCTGCATTCGTCATTTCTCTGCGTGGTTTCTCGTCCGAGAGATTCGACACATTAGTAGACACCTGACCGGGTTAATATATAATGGAACGACCTAGTCAGGCAGTACCGAAACTAAATAAAAAAAGGGGAATTGATTAATGCCGGTAAGTTTTGACACACTGCGAGAGATGTATATTAATAGCTCTCGGATTACTCGATCAGTGCAAATGGAGCTCCAGAGTCCATAACGAACCCACTCAAGCACCAGAGTGGATCAAGGAAGGATAGCTTCATGACATCGAAGGGCCTATTGAAGTTGCCGAAGCTAAAAAAAAGCTTTCAAAGTCATCTGAGGTAAATTTCTGATCGACCGCGTGACGGGTTCACAGAAGAAAAAACCGGGGAAGTTCTCCAGTGGGTTCGGGTTCCCCCAGATAGGCTTCCCGAGACCCCGGGGGTGGATATTCCCACTTTTCTGTTTTTGATCCCATGAGGACTTCTGTCTAGATCTGTCTCTTTTGTCTTTTTCTGTTTAAGTCGTGTTATGTATTATTCCGTATAACAATGACGAGGAACCGTATAGCGCGAAACCACAATACCGTATACCTGTATACCTGTATAATTGTAGACACTGTGCATATAGAGTGTCAAGGTGTCAAGGTGTCGAATCAACACAATACCTGAGATGCGTACTAGTAGTGCATGTGCATGTGGATGTGGCATCCAAGGCCATCATCATCACACCAGAGCCAGCGTCTCCTCGACTTCACGAACAACCTCCCGCACACCCTCAATCTGATGCGCAAACCTCCCCAAAAACATCCCATCAACCGCGCGACCAAGCCCACCAGTCCCCCAAAGACCCGGCCCCGCACTACCCCCATACAAGACCCTTGTCGTACCAGACCGGGAACCAATAACAGCCCGAATACCCTGCACAACAGCAGCAACGTGATCAACACCCGCCGGCTTCGGCTGTCCAATAGCCCAAACAGGCTCGTAGGCAAAGATAACGGGCGCGTCGTCAGGGATAGCAGCTAGAACAGCGCGCACCAGCACCGCGCACTCCGTAACAGCCTGGCCGACAGCTTGCGAGGCGATTGGGCCCGGAGCTGTCACCTCGCCGATACAGACGAGTGGAACCATATGCTGTGCGCAAGTTGCGGCGGCTTTTCGGGCGGTTTGGTCGTCTGTTTCGTTGAAGATGGCACGGCGCTCGGCGTGGCCTAGTTCGACGATTGAGCAGCCTAGGGCACGGATTGAGGCGGGGGACACTTCGCCAGTGTATGCGCCTTGGGATTCCCAGAAACAGTCTTGGGCGCCGAGGAGGAAGGGGGTGTGGAATTGGGGGTTCCGGTGGTGGTGGTCAGGTTGGTTTCGTATTCTTTGATGATTTGGGCGCAGGGCCAGATGGTTAGGAAGTCGGGGATTAGTGCTAGGAGAAGTTTGTCTTTATTTGCCGGGTGGACGATCTCGTTGGTTGGGTTGAGGAGGTCGCGGAGATAGGTGAGTGTCCGGTCTGGGGTGAAGTACATCTTTAGAGAGATAAGAAGGAGCTTCTCCGGGAGAATTGGGTAAGACGCCATGGTGATGGGTGATAGGTGATGGATGATGGGTGTTGCGGAAGTGTGTTTTTTTGTTATGGTGTTATGGCGGGGGAGGTGCTTAGCGTCTCTGTCGGGGAGGGGGAATGTCGGAAAAAGTTGGAAAGTGAAGCGAAGTAATTCCAAGTAATTCCAAGTTGACAATCTTGGAAGGTAATTTCCAAGTGTCAATGCGCTGCATTAGCGGCATTTCTGCGCTAGACGTTCCGATTGTCCCATCAGGTTTAGTGTAGTTTAGTTGTACAATGGGTGTAATTGGTATGAGAGGGGCATTCAGGTAGGAGTATAGTGCCGAGGACTATATACATATGTACGTGATGTCACATCGGTCCAGACAGGGGTATACAAAGTAACCATTCGGAGTACTCAATGCCGGAGTCCAATGAGTGTTAAACAAGGCTATAATCGGCCAAGCCAATGTAGGAATGTAGTATCAAGTACCCCAGATATAGTAGAAAGTATGTTTTCCCTATGTATTTAGGTAATACTGTATTGCGCTTTGGCCTTTGCGTACATCCTGTATATTCTAATGTGTCTGTTATATTCCATATGTCTATTATAGTATGATTAGAACATGATGTACAATGTACAATATTATATAGTGCAGATCCAAAGGAAAATCCGGAGTACATTGCACAATAGTACAATCCGGAGAACCGGTGGACTAGGTTGACAGCGACCAACAACATTGGAGATAGTGGAGTGGGAAAGTGGAGTACGCAACCTTGCAATGAGGCAATGCACATCAACTATGGGGTTTAGCGTCTGGGGGACGTACGGAGTACTTATGTACTTGTTCGATTGCATTTGGGAAATTTGGGAAATCAAGTTATGAGGCAATTCACATGTTGATGTGAATATTCCTGGGGTCGTCATTATCTCATATCCAACCCGGTTTTAAGATGGCATGAACTTGGTTTCCGGTTAAGAACTTAGTTCCCGGTTATGAGGTCAATTTCGACAAATCCTGTCTTCCCGTCTTGGTGCCATGCGGCTGGGGCCATAGCCATGTATCCCTCAATATACGAGGTGCCTAGGCCTTAGCCACCAAAACCAATCCTCGCGTCGGGAAAAAAGATGAAACCAAGACTCCCGGTCCTTGGCCTCGAGGCACCCATATTTAAGGAAGTTCAACAGCCACGTCCGTATAAAAAGCCACAGCCGTGTTGCCCGTCTTATCTTATAAAGTTATGTTCACCACTGACATCGATGGCTTGAGTGTGGCAGAATATGAAGCCTGAGGGGCGTAGACCAAGGCAGCGCCGGCGAGGTTTAATAAAACATCCCGTGTAATACGAGGTAAGATGCATGTATGGCCCAAAACAAGGCTCCTAAAGTATCCGACCTCGGTTTAACCTCCTGCTGGTGCTGACCACTCATAGCCCGTCGTTGGGTGCTATGATGCTGGGGCCACCCCAGACGCTGGAAATACGCGTAATATCAAGGGAACCAGTCCATTCGAGTTTCCCAGTGGAGAACGGCTGTAGATGATGATACCATCAAATGCAAGGATTGGCTGGACCTGGGTTTGGTTGCACGGCTATAAAGGACAGAGAGAGGGGAAGGAGTCAAAAGATATAAAGACCCCCTTTGTGTACTCCTAAATCAGGATTTCTTCTCTGTATCAAACATCAAGCCAATCTCTCTCTCTATCTCTTATTATCTACTCGATTCAATTCATACTCTTATTTGTACATTCTTCATCCTCGTGTCCATACCTTCATCATGTCTACTCCCTTCCGCATTGTCATGGCCTGCGACGAGGCCGGTGTCCCATACAAGGATGCCATCAAGGCCACTCTCGAGAAGAACCCTCTTGTCGCCGAGATCATCGACGTCGGTGTTAACTCATCCTCCGATAAGACTGCCTATCCTCACCCTGCCGTCGAGGGTGCTAAGCTCATCATGGATGGCAAGGCTGATCGTGGTCTCTTCATTTGCGGCACTGGTCTAGGTGTTGCCATCGCCGCGAACAAGGTGCCTGGTATCCGAGCTGTCACTGCCCACGACCCCTTTTCCGTTGAGCGCTCCATCCTGAGCAACGATGCTCAAGTCCTATGCATGGGTCAGCGTGTGATCGGTGTCGAATTGGCCAAGAAGCTTGCTACAGACTGGCTCAACTACCGCTTCGACCCTAAGTCTGCCTCCGCTGCCAAGGTCCAGGCTATCACGGACTATGAGGTCCAGTTCCGCACTGCTGCTTAGACTCTTGTCTTTGATATTCGTCTCGTCTTGTCTCATCCGACACCCGAAACACCTGAAACGTGTTAAGAATCCCTCTGGTATTGTCGCCATCCTTGCCTTCTCCGACAGAGCATGACTTGTCAAGTTTCATCGACTTGTCTGCACGATTGTTATGTCTTTCTTAGTTCTCACAGCGCATGATACCACGAACCAAATGTTACTTCCGCTTCCAAATTTTGGATTAGAAGGTCTCATAGACATGTATATACTGAATGAAACAACTAAAGGTCAATCCATGCAGATTAATTCGTAGAAGAGTAGCTATATCCTCCGGGCCTGTGCAGTGCACCAATTGAGCTGACTCAGAACTTCTGCGGGGATTCTATGAGTTTCCATATGCACCTGAGTAGTTGTCTCATGCGATTTGTTTGAATTCGCAAAGATATCCACAAAGGTACTGACAAACTGACACCACTGACACATTAATTGCAGATCAAAAGCCCTTAAACCCTCAACCCCCCGTCAGTTTTTATGAACTACTGCAATATCCACTCCTATCACTCTTGACTTTATATGGTGGACCGCCCCACATTGGGGAACAGATCAGCACGAGAAACCGAAAGGCCTCTCACACATAGACCATGGCGCAAGATCTCAAAGCCAGGGGCAATGAGCTCTTCAAATCCGGGGACTACAGCGGTGCTGAAGACTTCTACTCTCAAGCGTAAGCTATCACATCCGACGCCTCCGAGCTATCCGCCCCCTCACTCCCCAACTCAAAGTCGCAAACCCCAACAATCGTTCAAGTATCCCCAAACTAACAACTTTCCCCCCTCCATTAAATAGAATCCAAAAGAATCCGAAAGATGCAACCTTCTTCACAAACCGCGCGATAACCCGAATCAAGCTGGCCAAATGGGCCGACGTCGAACATGACGCCCGCGCCGCAATCGAAATCTACGGCCTAAAAAACCCCGCCGCCCTAAAAAGCCACTACTACCTCGCCCAAGCCCTCCTAGGCCTCCAGCGCCCACAGGAAGCACACGACGTCGCGTCTGACGCGTACCAGCAGAGTCTCGCAGCGAAGAATGCCCAGACGGAGAACCTGTCGCGGACAGTCCTTCGCGCGAAACAGCAGCTCTGGGCTGCGCGCGAGACGTCTCGCATACGTGAGCTGAACGAGACTCTCGGTTCTGTGGAGGCGCTCGTTGAGGCTGATGTGACGCGTGCGCTGGCGGAGTTGCAGGGGAGATTGGACCGCGGGGAGATTGGGGAGATTGGGTTTGGGGAGGATCAGAAGGCGTTGCGGGAGGATGCTGAGACTAAGATTAGGAATTTGAGGGAGGCATTTCGAGTTGCATCTAAGGGTGAAATACAGGAAAGGGTAAGTTTTTTTTTTCTCTTCAACTTGTTTTGGAGTGGTGGGTTGTTTATTGACTGGACTTTGATTCTAGGTTGTTCCTGACCATCTCATTGATGGGATCACATTTGAGATCATGCATGATCCGGTTATTACACCGTCAGGGGCCAGTTTCGATCGATTGGGCATCACTAAGTATGTTGAGAAGTCGGGCGTTGATCCTTTGACTCGGGCTCCTATTAGTGTCCACGATCTGCGGAACAATTATGCTCTCAAGGCTGCTTGTGAGGAATTCCTCACTAACAATGGATGGGCCGTGGACTGGTGATCGCGCTCTTGATTTGAGTTTGTACATTGGCCCCGGAATCTGCTTCTCGTCTCTTTTTCTGGTGCATAGCGAGTGATTTCCACAGCGGTTGCATGTGGACATGCATCTGTTGGCGTGGTTCTTGAAATAATATGATATTTTTTTTGGAATTAAGTATGAATATGTTGAGACATTTTGGGTTTACTCTAAAGTTATCTAAATACATAGCTTGTATACGTATAACTTGAATACCAATATAGTAGTAAGACCCCTCGTTCCTGAAAATCAACTGGCGAGTGTGTCAGCGACCCCACCTATACCCGCTGACCCCGCCCTCAACCATCTCCAACATCCCAACCATATAAATCCTCTGTTGACTTTTATCTCTCCTCATACTCAATAACAAAACATCCTCAAATTCAAAATGTCCGATATTACCCCTTTCATCACTGTCCTGGAGGCCGCCCAGAAGAAGGAGAAGTTCACTCCCGAGGTCCAAGAAGCCGCCGCCGGCATCGACATTGCAGCTCTCAAGGAAATCTACGAGAAGGTCGCCGAGCAAGGCGAGTTCGAGAAGCTCGATGATGCTGCCGAGGCTGAGACCCTCCGCAAGGCTTTCGAGTTCGCCGCCAAGGCTGTTATGATGCTGAAGACCTCCCCCGGCCTTTTGGAGAAGAAGGACCTCTACATCTACTTCAAGGTTGGCAAGGGTGACGTTATGGAGAAGCCCGGCATGTTCGATATCCAGGTACGTTCAATTTTAAATTCATTGCGAGCTAGGGAATGCCCTGGGCTATAGCATGTTCCTTTGGAAGAAGACCGGTAGCTGACTATTCATTCTTTGCAACCTTACAGAAGAAGCAGCTCTACGGTGCTTGGGAAAAGGTCAAGGACTACAGCCCCGCTAAGGCCCACCAGCTCTACATCAGCCACGTCAACACCTTCATTGCCAAGTACGGTACCCGCGACGAATAGATGATACAATTGGGAGAACTTGTCTTGGAGAATGAACTCGTGCTCTATCGAAGGGGATATATTATCGGGTGAGATTTTGAAAAGATGATTATCGAAAGAGAAGAGATAATCGTATCTTCTCAAAATTCTCGGGATGAGTAAACGAATACAAATGCATGCTACTTTCCATGACCCAATACTCCGCGTACCTCACAATGCCATATAATATATACTGAAATAACCATGCGACTCACACACGTGAACTGCCGAGACGAAAAAAACATCAGGTATAGGCGATACACTAATTGCAAAGACAGCAGACTCAGACCATCCAGCTCTGCCCCTGCCAGTCCGGCAGAGTATGCGAAGCAGTCGCGCACCACGGCTCATCACCCGCACCATACGGCGTCAACGGCAGATCATAAGGCATCCGGAACCCGACGACTACAGAAGCCTTCTCAGCACCCTCAGATACAGCAGGGCGATCCCTCTTAAAGCACGGAACCATCAGCGCGTCCGGCGCAGGCGATTCCCCCTCCGCTTGGGAATCAGATGCAGATGGAGGTGCAGCATCGCCACAACCCTCATCTCGAAAAAGATCTGGCCAAACAACAACCCCGATCTCCCAGCTACAAATGCGCACCTCGCCACCGACATTCGTCGCCGCACCCCACGCCTGCGTGGACAGATTCGCCGATGATACCATCGCCCAGTCAATTGTCTTCATATCTGAGTCCGCAAATCGGATGTAAGTCTTGATATGTGGTGCTGCGCGGGCGCGGCCTGCTTCGCGTCTTGGGGGATCATCTTCGGATAAGTCGATAGATTGGCCTGGGGTGATGGCATCACCTGCCCATTGGTAGAGATACGGACGCATGTACTGGAGTTGCTTTTGTTGAGCTGCACTTTGGGTTTTCATGTGGATTGAGCCGCCGGAGTTGTAGCCATTTAAGGAGCGGCGGATCTCGTCTGGGGTTGGGAAGATAATTGAGTAGGTTGTTGGTTGTGGGGTTTTTGTTGGGGTAAGGGCTTTGAAGAAGACGTCTTTGAGCCATTTGTTTGTTTGGCCGAGGGTTGCTACTGAGGAGATCTTGGATTTGTTGGTGGTTTGTTATTTGAGACAACGTGGTGGGTTGTTTGGAGATACGTACCTGGATTACTATGCGTGGTTTACTGCTTTTGTTTTTTTGATGAATGGGTACTTCGCTCAGCAAGTCTTTCAGAGCTGGCCAGCCCCATAGTGTAGCTTCTTCTGAGCTTGAGTCACTGGCGTGTTGTTTGGACGGGACGCTGGCGATGAGGGCCGCGCGAATGGAACTGAAGTCATAGCTATCCAGTTGCTGAACTAGTGGGCCGGTCTTTTTAGGTCCATACGCTTTCAGATAGGCGATTAGATCCCTTTTAAACCGTGCGCCCGAGCCAATTTTGGCGTCTGTTTGTGAACCTGTTGGGTTTGCCTTCTGCAGGGGAAGCAGTGGAGAGAGCCAGGCGGCTTGTGTCATATTGGTCCAATCCATATGGATCATGTTTGCCGTGTGGATGATAACCCTATTTGGTTATTTGGTCAGATATATATCGGGCTATCGGGCTGGCTATAGCGATCAATGATGTCTGGATGGATCTTACTGAGCTAGGTCATCATGGCGAAGAAGAATCATCATCTTGGAATGATGTGTCCCAAAAGGCTCCGGCATGTAGGCCACAATAGGCTCAACATTAGCATATCGCGAAGAGGCTTCCTAATAGCAGATTAGTATCACGCTATCTCGAACTCTCCATAAGTGATGAGACTAGTCAAACAGATGACGTCAACTCAATCGAAAATGTCTTGTCGGTGCAAACGTACCTCAACTCGAATCCGATTCGTATCTTCCTTTCGCCACGATCCATGCACAACCTTTACTTGTACAAGACCGCGGACATCTTCGTCAAACTGTGACATAAGAAAATCGACATCAAAGAGGTAGTTAAACTGCCAGCATTCGCGGATCATGGGATCCCCGAGAATGTCGCGTAGTCGCACGGCGTCGACATTATTACCATCAGGTAAATCTCGAATATGCGTCAGTTGGACTGGCGAATTGATCAATTTGGCAGGGCGAGCAGTGCTCTCAGAGCCAGAAGTCAATTTACCATCTGTCGGTCCTGGACATCCTCGTGGCAATGGTGGGCTAATGGCTCTGTGTAAAGACGTTAGAGATGTACTCGCTGAGCCATCGGAATCTAATAAGATTCTTGCTCTTTTGGACGGGCGCTCCATTCAATATTTCTGTGAGAGAGTGGTGGTTGAGTTGGAGGTTTAAAAGGCGGTCGAGATGGGCGATTACGAGAGGCTCGAGTATTGATCGAGCAATATATATCAAAGGTTATACACGGAAAAGTACACTGTTCTATTATATAAAAAAAAGCCGTTTCATAGGAATTGAATATTCCGCGTTATTCTGGATTTTTAAAAATTTGTTCAATTTATACAATTTCGTTGCTCATCCTCATACAAAATCCCCTGCTCTGAAACAACTTATGCAAGCTTCTTGATCTCCGCCACAACTGCATCGGTGACCTGCTGTGTTGTGGCGTCACCACCCAAGTCACGGGTCAGAACTCCCTGCTCACACACATTCTCGACACAAACCAAGAGCTTCTTGGAAGCCTCCTCCTCGCCGAGCCAGGCAAGCATCTCCGCGGCTGTCCAGAAGGTAGCCACGGGGTTGGAGATACCCATGCCAGTGATATCGAAAGCAGAGCCGTGGATGGGCTCGAACATACTGGGGTACTCCCGTGTAGGGTCGAGGTTAGAGGTAGGTGCGATACCAATGGATCCAGCCAGAGAGGCAGCGAGATCAGAGAGAATATCAGCGTGCTAGTTGATCGTTAGTCCACAGACCTAGTTATGCAAAATTTCTCATTTCATCAACTCACCAAATTGGTAGCAACGATAGTGTCGAGACTCTCAGGCTTGAGAACCATGCGGGTAGTCATAGCATCAACAAGCATCTTGTCTACAGTGACATCGGGGAAATCAGCAGCAACAAGCTTAGCCACTTCATCCCAGAGAACCATGCCGTTGCGTTGGGCATTACTCTTAGTAACCACAGTCAACAGCTTGCGCGGCCGCTTCTGGGCAGTCTCAAAGGCGAATCGCATGATTCTCTCCACACCATGGCGAGAGAAAATAGAAACTTCAGTCGCGACCTCCCAAGGCTTTCCGGTGTGGGAGCGGCCACCCTGACCCGCATACTCTCCCTCGCTGTTCTCACGGATGATGACCCAGTCAAGGTCATTGGGTCCGCACTTGCGCAGCGGGGACTCGGTGCCGCGGAACACACGTGTTGGGCGCACGTTCGCGTACTGTTGGAATGGCTGGCAGATGGCGAGTCTCAGACCCCACAGGGAAATATGATCTGGCACGTCTGTTCTCGTGTTTAGTATCATTTCTTTCAAGGAACTGCTTGTGTCTGCTTACCAGGAGCGCCGACAGCGCCGAAGAAGATCGCGTCGTGCTTCTTGAGCTCCTCGAGTCCACCGTCGGGGATGTATTTGCCGGTCTTCTTGTAGGTATCGGAGCTCCAATCATAGTTCTTGAACTCCAACTTGAAGGTCTTGAGGGTATCGGTCAAGGCATTCAGGGCGGTGATACCAGCATTAATGACCTCTGGGCCAATTCCATCGGCTGGGATGGAGGCGATGCTGTAGGTCTTTTGGCTAGCGACTGGGGCAGACATGGTGATGTTGTGATAAAGTTCTTGTCCGAAGTGATTTAGGTGGAAGACGGCAGAAGATGAAGCATTTAAAGAAAATCGGGTTCAAGTTCTTAGATTTTAGTCTCCACTTGCAATATTCCCATAAACCTATCGCATAACCCCTCATCGCGAGCTCATTCGACTATAATTATCGCGGGGTGCAGACGGAGATTCGAATGCCCGGATTTTGCTGTATAGAGCGCCCCACTCGGAGAAAGACATGTCCGCGTGGCGAACGAGCCTGACTTCCATACAACTCGGTCGAGAACGGCTTCTAGATCCGACCCGAGAATTATTATTGTAAATTAGGGTAGTAAACATTGGGAA